TCCAGGGTCACCCATTTTGAATAATATTGCATGAGTTCCTTGTTTTTCAATGCAGCTTACCCTAAAGAGACCATGTATACCCATGTTTATCGCAGCTTTGTTTACAATATCAAGGAGTTGGAAACAACCTAAATGCCCATCAACAAACGAATGGGTAGAGAAGCTGTGGTATATTCGCACAATGGAATACTATGCTGCGTTGAAATAAACTTTTTTACCTAATGGCATATGGAGCTTTGGTGGCCTTGTGGTATTGCACTGCCAACACAGAAGCACAAGGTACAAATCATCAAGTCAGAAGTGACCCATAGCTGAGCCTCCAGTGGGTCTGCAGAGGCAGTAATTTGGGTGGGAGGAGATTGCCCATCTTTCTTCCCTGGAGCAACTGGCAGATTTAAACTTCATCTTTAGGGATCACAGCACAGCTACTTACCCCTAGGTCACCAGAGTTCCCTACATAGGAACCTCACGATATTTGCATAATGTGAGCAAGAGAGGCTCCTCCCCCCTACTCTAACTTTCCTGACAGTGTGACAGCCTGTGTTGAAGATTTAGTAGAGATTTTGCTTACTAACAGCTTTGTATCAAATGACCGCTGTTTTAAAAATTTCTATCCATTAGATTAACCCACTCTGTGCTTGTTGAACTGCTACAAAATGTTAGTGTTAGAACCCACCTGCCAATTTGGAGAAGAAAGACAAGACCTTTTCTCCCAGAAAAATGTACAGCCTCAAAAAAACCCAAAAGATGGTTGGCGTGAGTTAAACTTACCCGAGTGAATGGGTTTGGGTTTGGGCTTCACAGAGACTGTTTTATTCACCTGTAAGTAAAGAAATGAACAATGGGTCTTGATAAAATTAGTAAATATATCAGGTGGAGAAGAAGGTCGGAACAATGTATTGCTTATCCAAAGTTTCAGTTCTAGGGATAAAGTCCTTCTAGGAAATGTAGTTAATAATTAATGCTGATAAAAATAAAAATATTATATAAAAAAGCAAGCTTATGGACTTTATTATGCAACTGAGCCTTCCATTTTGGATATAAACATTATTTTCTCAGTACCTCTGTGTTATTTGACACAACATTAAGATGTTTTCTTTTTCAAGTGACAAGAGAAGCAAGAAGTAAGGCAGTGGAAAAAAGTGGAATGTGGATTTTAGTGACATGCATACTGAAAACTTCAAAAAGTTTTAGCTGATAGGAACCTAAAGCCGTTGTCATTGCCACTGAGGTGGAATTGACTCCTAGCTGACTCTCCATGGGTTTTCTAAAGCTGTAAGTCACACAAGATGTGATTTCTCATTTACTATATTTTGAGCTTCTGGGGCAGCCAAGCCACCAGAGAGACATGTCCTTGACTCTGCACCCCAATTGCATAAAAAATACAACTCTTCTTGCCCTCCATTTAGAAAACTGAGAAAGTTTGAAAAACCATTCTGCATACCACAGTCCTTACCACATTATTTTGGTACTGCATTAAAGTCTAACTTATTAAGCATTCTACTTACTGTCCTTAATTAATGAAGAAAGCATTTGGTTTCACTTAATATAATTCCTTGAAAAATGTTTACTAAAGCATGCATCTTAGAAGCTATTGCATCAGAATGATTAAGGTGTAAAATCATAAAGCTTACCAGTAGAAATCTTGCTGATAGAAAAAAAAAATAAATAAATCAATGAAGCTGTGGCCATGTTTTTCAAGGAAGTAAACCTTGTAACCTCAGGCTAATGCACTGTTACCATGATATTTTCAATAGCTAAAATGATTTCAATATCACAATCTTAAAAATTTAGGTTATAAAAACTATTTTAATGGGTTTATTCACTTTTATTTGCATGACAACATTTTGTTTTCCATGCTGTCAGTACATCTTGATGGGACAAGGAAAAAAGAAATAAGAATTCAAGTGAATGAAGTTGCTTTTGTAATTTTTTTTTTCATAAAAGGCATGATCCTATGTTTTCTCTTCATAGACCCAGGGCTGCACAGGCAGCTGTATTTTCTGCAACGACCGTCTAATGTAGTAGCCACTGAAGGAAAAGATGCTGTCTTGGAGTGTTGTGTTTCAGGCTACCCTCCTCCGAGTTTTACTTGGTTACGAGGAGAGGAAGTCATCCAACTCAGGTATTTTCAACTTATAACTTTTGTGGGGAGTGTATGCTACTGTTTGTATTTGTTCAGTTTAATGTGAATGGGCCAGAAAGAGGAGGATCTTTTCTTAGAACATCAAGATATTTTGACACTTTCTGAAATTACTTTGTTTGAAGGACATTTAGCATCTGGGCTGAGTGGAGAAAACATAGCCAAAAATATCTATGATATTGATTCTGGAAGGAAATTCAGAAAGTAGCTGTTGTCACTGACATGATTCTACTCAGAGTTACTGTCAAGGGCACTTTACAAGATCTCATCCTAATAACTGAACACAGGAAATAAGATATTTTTATGCCCAAATTCCTGAGTTCAGATATGGCCTATGTCTTTGGAGGCTGTATGCATTTCGTATTATCTCTCTCACCATCTCAGCTATGGAACATGTTTAAGACAAGAGGAAGAAATCTTGGCTCTTTGAATCAAAATTGGACACTATGTAAAAGTAGTATCTTAGTGGAATGAAATACCTACTTTGCACATTTCTGTAAAAGGTAATGTTGTTGTTTTAATAAGTTAATTTCTTGTACTCACCAGCATAAAACTTCTTGACTTGTTTTAATTCTTTGCTGACATAGGCCCAGAGAACACAAATCAATCGTTAAATTTCATCCACCTTAAATCATTGTTTCTGTGAGAATGCTTGTTTCTAGATTGGGATGGATTCCCAATCTTTCTGAGAATATTGAAGTATTTAAGAGAAATGGGTGCAAATACAGCATGAAAAGACTTGGCGTCTGGATACAGCTTCACATACATACTCAGTTTAGAAGTCTAGCAATTAATGGTACCTAATAATAAGGAAGAACACAATGACCATTACATTGAATTCCACACATGGGGCCTTGACTTCCACTGTAGGCAACCAATTCTCTGGAACTTGAAGTCCTGGAATACAAAATATAATGCTTATGTTAGATTATTAGAAATTGTTTCTTCATTTTTTCCCAAATTTAATGTACTGTATTCCTTGGTCCCTGAACATGGCCTTTCAGTGGGAACAAATTTACATTGAGTGAACTTTTCATCAATAAATCTGATGAGATTAATTTATTATGATGCAGATTTTCTTTACAATTTAATAGTTCAGTCTGTAATATTAATGTCCTGTTGGAAGTTTCATACAAACCATTGAGTACTCAGGTTGGAATATATAATGTCATTGTATACTGTTGAGTCAGAACCGACCCAAAGCTGACCCTCCATTGGGCTTTCAGAGGCAGTAGATCACATTGGAAGAGATTGTCCATCTTTCTCCCATGAAGCAGCTGATAGATTCAAACCACATGATTTTGGATTTGCAGCCCAACCCCTTACCAATAAGTCACCAGAACTCCTGCATCTTTCTATGATATAAGTTGTTGTTGTTGTTGGTAAGTGCCGTCGAGTCATAGACAACTCATAGTGACCCTATGAACGAAAGACGTGAACACTTGTATAACTTTCATCATTTCTCCACTTTCATAGAGTTTCTGGAGGCAGGCTGTATGGGAAGTGGATGCCACTCACTCCTGCTTCCAAGCTTGTTTTAATAGGGGAGCTCCACCAAACACTGTTCACCATGGGTAACCACTATTTCATTTGACACATTAACGTCATAGTGTTCAGCATCACAGCAACCACAAGTTACCTCTGTACAGCAAATGGACATACCAGTGCTATATTAGAAGACTGTTTGACCAAAGCAAATTAAAACTGGGGATTTTAATTTATATGTATATTATATGTATAATGTAATATAAATCATACCATACATATTATATATTCCTATTTTGAGTGAGTGTGTACAATTTTACTCTGTATATTTTTTTTTATTTTCTAGGTCCAAAAAGTATTCTTTATTAGGTGGAAGCAATTTGCTCATCTCCAATGTGACAGATGATGACAGTGGGACCTATACCTGTGTTGTCACATATAGAAATGAGAATATCAGTGCCTCTGCAGAGCTCACAGTCTTGGGTAAGTTAATGACTCAAGAAGAGTTTACATTGTACCCTTCAAAATACATAACAGAGACACTTTAAAGGTTTACCACTGAATTACTCGCTACATTTATTAGTATGAGATTGCAAAGTTCCAGTACTCCACGTATGCCCTTGCCTTTCTTTAATTAATTGCACAGGGGTTAAATGTAGTGCTTAAATACTTGCTCATTGAATTAAAGTCCAGATACATCACAGTTTAGTGTAATTATTCCAGTAAGGCAACTGAAGCCTACCTAAAAGGATTACTTGCCAGATGTGTTGAATAACAAATGAGGGGTTATAAAGTAACCTGGGGAAAAGAATGATAGACATTGTGTAAGAAACACATACTTGAATATAAAAGGCAGATATTGCTTGTGATGGCAAAGTCTCCAGCATTAAATTTGGGTGTATTTGTAAGATTACTTTGTTAATATGGAAATGCTTTAGGTGTTGTGTAGAAAGTGAGCCATTAAAATAAAATATATATAAGGGAAAAATTCATGGCACAGTTTAATTTAACAAAACTAAAGGGCCTAAATGAGCTCATATTATTCACAAAGCCAATTATCACATATCACTGCAAATTAATAATGTATATTAATGTATTTTATATTTAAAGATAGAGTAGTATTCATCTCAGCACATATTTTATCACCTACTTCAGATTTCTCCTAGCCAGTTTCATCTGAATCACATACTTTCTCCAAAGTACTTTAACATTTGAATTTCAATTGCTTTTCCCTATAACAACAAAAAAATTGGTTACTGGTATTTGGATTTTTTTTCTTCTAGAATAAATCTATTTGCATTTTAAAGAGTCTAGGAAAAAAAATCACAGGCTTTTTAAAAGTTATTCAATAGAACTGAAAAGGTATGACACCCTGATTATACCTGCTAACCTATATCATAGTATTATTATACTATCCATTTTTCTTTTTGACTTTAAAGTTTATTTAGAAAACAATTTCGTCTGCAAGTAAGGTAATAACGTATATGATGAGTTAGCCAATGGACTTGTTTTTTTTCTTTGAACAAACCATAAACATTAAATTAAGAAGAGGGGAAGACTTTAATCCTTAGTTTCAGAGATGTACTAGTTTAGTTGAATAGCAGAAGACTTTCATCCCGTATTTTAAGGAGTGTCTTATGCTAACTAAAATATCAGCTACCTTGAAAACGGCTGCAATTTACTCATATTCTAATGGATATTTTCCAATACTATAAAAATAAAGAGAACTTTCATATTTTAAATGTCAAAGTATAATAACACAGAAAAGCTATCACAGAAATTTTCTTATAATGTGTGTTACTGATCATAAAGCAAATATGCTTATGATATACACCTGAATATTTATCATAGGCAAACTTTTGCTTCCTAATACATAAGGTCAAGTCTTATATAAAATTAATGAGTGACATTTTGCCATGTAATGTTAATCATTGTTGCTTAAGTGCCTATCTGGAAGGGACTGTTTCCTTGATGTTGATCCACGTTGAAGGCAGTATGCTTTGTTCTTCATTAACGTTTCAAAAGCTCTCAGCTTTCAGTACACAGGGTTGTGTTATCTCATATGGCAGCTTATTAATGAGTCTTGCTCCAATCTTGATGGATTTTTCTTCATATCATCCAGCTTCTGGGATTCTTAACTCAGGATACAAAAGAATAAATAAGTATAGCCAAAAGACACAATCCTGATGTACATTTTTTTAATTCCTCATTTTGAAATGTAATCCATATTTTTTATCACCTATATAGTCAAACGACTTGGAATAGTCAGTAAAACACAAGTAAATATTTCTTTCTGGTATTTTCTATCTGTATATATGTACATGGTGATCATGTTAGTGTACTGTCGGGTTTAAACCAAATCAGAGTTGACCCTCTACTCAGTTTTCAGAGGCAGTTAATAGCACAGGAGGAGAGTTCTCTTTTTTTTCTGTGGATTTGAACTGTATACCTTTGGATTGTCAGTGCAACTCCTTACCATTGAACCATGGCAGTTCCCTGTATACATATGTATAGTCTTAATTTTTTGCCTTATTAAAACTCTAGAAAAATATTGGCCAGGTTCAGAACTGGCACCTACTTGTTTTGCATGGGATAAATACATAGTCTAGGTCAGTTACTCTGCGGGACAAGGATGCAAAATCTCCTCCTGCACAATTTACTGCCTCTAAAAATATGCTAGAGGGTTAGCTATGGATTGATTCCAACTCAAAGGTACACAACAACTACAACAAGTTCAGATATCTACATAAAATACAAAGTTTGAAATCAAATGTATGTCTTTGAATCCCAGAACACTTGATTGTTCTAATGAGAAACTTATACTTGAACCAGGAGGCAGTCGTCAGAACAGAGCAAGGGAACACTGCATGGTTCAAAATTGGGAAGGGCGTACGCCAGGGATGCATCCTATCTCCATACCTTTTCAACCTGTATGCAGAACAGATTATCAGGGAGGCGGGGCTCTATGAGGAGAAATGTGGGATCAAGATTGGTGGACGATTTATCTACAACCTACGTTATGCGGATGACACAACCCTGCTTGCTGAAACTGAAGAGGACCTGAAGCACCTGCTGCAGAGTGTCAAGGATTGCAGCCTACAATATGGAATGAGGCTCAATGTTAAGAAGACAAAGATTCTCACCACTGGACCAATTAGCAGCATCAGGATGGATGGTGAAGAGATTGAGATTGTACACAGCTTTAGTTTGCCTGGCTCCACAGTTAACAGTCTTGGCACCAGCAGCCAGGAAATTCAAAGGCGCATTACCATGGGAAAGTCTGCTGTTAGGGACCTCTCCAAAGTACTGAAGAGCAATGGTGTCTCTCTGGAGACTAAGGTGCATCTGATACAGGCTATGGTCTTCGCAATCACTTGTTATGCATCAGAGAGTTGGACAATGACCAAGGAGGATAGAAGGAGAATTGATGCCTTTGAGCTGTGGTGCTGGAGAAGAGTATTGAGAATACCATGGACTGCTAGGAAAACAAACAGATCTGTCCTGGAAAGGTTAAACCGGGTGGCTCCTTGGAGGCAAGGATTCTGAGACTCCCTCTAACATACTTTGGACATGTTGTGAGGAGAGACCGGTCCTTGGAGAGGGACATCATGCTTGAGAGGGTGGAAGGACAGTGCAGGAGAGGAAGGCCCTCTATGAGGTGGATTGATTCAGTGACTGGGATAATTGGGATGGGAGTGTCAGAGACAGTGCGATTGGCACAGGACAGAGCGGAGTTTAGGGCTGTTGTACATAGGGTTGCTATGAGTCGCAGGCGACTCGACGGCACATAACAAAAACAACAACAACATAGTGTCACATATCATGGACATTCTGGCTACTCTAACTCTTCCTTCCAAGTCAAGGACTCTGAGTGGAAACAGCCCTTTGCAAAGGCAGGATTTGTCCCTTTACTATATGAGTCTTTTTAAAGAGTAGGGGCCTAGGAGCTATTGCCTATGAACAAGTGAAACAAGGCTTTCTCCATAGATTTGAGTATGTCCACCTTATAGTGCAACATTCTGGGTCTGATGACAGGTGAGTTTTGATAGGAAATTGTTTGTGTGTGTAAGTATTTCATTGTTGTTATGTGCTGTTGAGTCATTTGTAACTCATTGAGGCCCTTTGTACAACAGCCCTGAAACTTTCTCTCTCTTGAACCAATAGCATTGTTTCCAACACTTACCCACATTACCCTAGTCACTGAGTCAATCTATCTCATCCAGGTTCTTTCTCTCTTGTGCTGTCCCTCCATCCTTGCAAACATCATTTCATTCTCCAAGGACTGGTTCCTGCTGACATCATATCCAAAGTATGTGAGACAGAGTTTCAAAATCCTTACCTCCAAGGAGCAGCCTGATTTCACCCTCACTGGAACAGATGTTTGTTCTCTTAGAAGCCCATGATATGTCCAATATTCTCCCCTAGCTCACAACTCAAAGGCATCGACCCTTCTTCTGTCATCCTTAGTCATTGTCCAACTTTCTAATGTATAACACATATTTGCGAAGACCGTGCCTTGGATCATGTGAACCTTAGTCTCTAGATTGACATCAATTGCTCTTCAGTACCCTGAAGACGTCTCAGATAGCAAATTTTCCCAGTACAGTTTGCCTTTTGATTTCTTGGCTGCTGGTACCAAGAGTGTTGATGGTAACCTGGGGTTTCTGTGATACTGAACCTTGTGCCATGGGGGTGTCAAATGCTATAACAGTTATACATGGTGGACAGTGTTTGGTGGAGCTCCCAGTTTAAGCCAGGTTTGGAAGCAGAAGAGGCATCTACTTCCTAAACAACATGCCTCTGGAAACCCTATGAACTTTGAGAAACAATGATAGTTATAGAATGTGTGTCATCTCAGGTTTTTTGTTCATAGAGTCACTATGAGTCATGCTTGACTCAATGGCAGTCAACAACAAGTCTATAGAGAGTGCCTAAGAAAGAAATTTTTTATATCCATGTTCTTTTAAATACATATGATTGTTTCAACCATTAAGCAATATAGTGATTATTGAAATAGGTAATAAGCTAAGCTACACAGAAAGATTTGGAAGGACCATCTTAAAAAATTAACTAAAAAGGAGATCAAGTTATATGTGGAACATTAAAATCACTATAAAAGCTATAATTTTATGGTGTATTGAAGTAGAAAAGTACACGTTAGTTAATAGCTTACTTTCTGTTGGCAGTGTTTTTGAATAATAAAAAGTATGGCTGAATAATATGGCTGATAATGAGTCAACAAATTATCAAGGAGTCCTGATGGTGAACTACTAACAAAAAGTTCGGCAGCTTGAGTCTATCCATTGCGCCTTAGGGATTATAAAGATGAGGCAATCTGGTCCTGTTATGATGAAAACTTGATTGAGATTTGTTTACCATGCATGAGACTCTGAGACTACAGCATGTAGGTACCTAGGTACCGTTAGAACAAAAGGCATCCCCTTGCATCAGCCTTTTCTCAAACTGTAGATCTACAGAGTGAT